GAACGGCGCCTGGGTGGGGGACGCCTTCACGCCCGGCACACTGAGACCCAGCAGCGGGAGCTTGCTGCTGCCTTCAGCACCGGTGTCCCGGGCCGGAACTGACCACAGGTGCTGCCCCGGGGTCCGTCGGGCTGAGCCCCGGCCAGCAGCCACGGGGGCGGGTGTCTTCCCCACTCCACCCCCCGGGTTGCGGCACCGGCTGCCACCCCTGAGGTTTATAGGTGCCATTACCTATGAAGAATCTGTTCCATCGAAAGGCGGCCGGGGTTGGGGATGGGCGGCAGATTGCGATTTAATGACCGGATTAAAATATGCCAAAGCAAACAAACAAATAAATAGAACGCCCGCAGCCTGGAGACCCCGGAGCCGTGCCTCGGGCCCAGAGGCTGGGGCCCGGAGCGGGACAGCTCGTAACTCAGCCGGTCCTGCGGGTTGAGTGGCCGTCACTGCGACCGCAGGGGAAGCAGGTCTCCCCGCAAGATTTACCCCCAGAGCACCAGAGGCTGGAGGGCCGGGTGGGAGAGGAGAGGGAGGGGGTCAGCAGGTGCTGGTCCCCGTGCTGGGGATGGGGGGCGCCACCACTGGCAGCGGCGGTGACCGCCCCTTTCCCGGCCCCTCCACCGCTCAGCAGCCTGACCTGCCCCTCCAGTGCCCGGTGCCCCCATCTCTCCCAGGAAGACGGCGCTGAGCCCGAGACTCGGTCCTGCTCTCCCGAGACTCTGGTGGGGACACACGCCCGTGAGTCACACTGCAGACCCGACTTGCCCCCGTCTGTGAGGACGGTGCAGACACCGGCTCCCCCGCTAGACAGGCGGGAAGCCCCCTGACTCACAGCAGGGGGAGGGACGTGTGCTTTCTCCTGTGACGCCCGGCACCCAGAGCGAGGCCCTGGTGCAGGTGGCTCTCAGGAGACATTCAACTGCAGGGACGGTGTCCGTCCTCGGGGCCCCCCGTAAGGCAGAAACCTCACCACGCCCTCTCGTCCCGCAGCCCGACCCCTCGGCCCTCCACGGCCGCAGCCACGGCTGTCACTGCCACGGACCCACGAAGCCCGAACACTCAGTCATCAGGGCGGCTCCCTCCGGGGCCCCTCGAGGACAGGCTGTGGCATCTGGAGGAAGAGCAAGTTGACCCGAGATGGCCTCTCCCCACCCCCACCTTCGGGGACACCTGGTTCCCCACACTTGGCACACGAGGCTGTCGCACGGCTAACAAATGTCAGACGCACAGCCGGGACTCTGGGGGGGGGACAGAACATGAGCAAAGGAGGAGCCATTCGGGGGGAAGGAGGGTTTCTGTTTAAGAGCGGAGGAGCCAGGCGACCAACACCACGGAGACTCCGGGGAGGCGGGACTGCCGAGGACGCAGGCACCTGCAGGCCGACCGTCACTCATCCTGCCGCCCCCCCAACACCCCTGGAATCCCCGGGCTTCCTCTCTCACGACAGGCCCCTAGGCCCCTGGGCAGGCGTCCCAGCCGGACGAGCTGAGCCGGGGGGACCCCTCGGCCAGCTGCGGGGGCTCCTGGCGGATTCTTTGTTCCCGGACCCACTGGGCAGCTTGAAGCCACACTGCGGGCCGGGTGCATGAGGGGCTGCCGGCTGGGCTGTGGGGGGGCCCCGTTATTTGCTGTCTTGTTCCCGCTGAGTATGCGTGGGGACCGAGTGGAGGTGACAATTCAGACCCGAGGCAGGAGAGAGTGGAGTCGGGGTGCACACAGGGTGTGAGCAGAGTGGGCGACCCCAGCACTGAGCCCCGACCCCAGGGAAGGTGAGGGGCAGAGGGGACGGCGGATGGAGGCAGGTCCTGGTGCGGGGCCCAGACCCGTTTCGTCTGGGCGCACGCCACGCCTTCGCCTCCCAAGATGCTGCACCCACCTTCCGACTGGTCTCCCTGCTTCCGAACCTGCCTTCTGTCCCCAGAGTCCTGCCCCTACAACTTCCGTGGTCACGTCATGTCATTCTGCCCTCAGCCCGGACCCCCTGCGGCCTCCGGGGTCACTCCGGGAGCGGCCAATCCCATCCAGGGCGGACAGGAGGCTGTCTCCTCCGGCTGTCTGTCCGTCCAGCCGCCCGGCACCTGCCCTGCCCCCAGCGGTGCTCGGGGCTGCAGAGCCTTTGCCAAGCGTGCCACCCCCTCCGCCAGCCCCTGGGCAGTGCTGTCACTCCCAGGAGCTCCCCGGTCCCCACTTCTCCCCACGCACGGCCCCATCCAGAACCCCTCCGTGGACGTGCCCGTTTTGCTCCTGTCTGTCCCCTGGCTGCCTGCCGCTGGGCCCTCAGCCCGACACCAGGGCTCTGGGGCCGGCGGGGGCTGTGGTTCCCAGGCTGGTGCCCACACGGGCCTGGTCAGCCTCTACCGAAGGAGACACCCAGGCCCTCACACCGTCGGGTTCCGGAAAGGCCCCTCAGACCTGGTGTGAGGACTGGGGTCGGCAGACCAGCCCCTCGGTGGAGCCGCGGGGTCACCGCGGTTCATCTTCACACGCGCTGGGCGCTGGGCTGCAGGCCTCTCTCTCTCTTCCATTTGCCCCCACCCCGACTTCTTCCTGCCCCAGCCGCCGCAGACCCCACTCCAGGGGCAAGGACGGGCTGTGACCCTGAGGTCTTACCTGCATGGCCTCGAACCCCCGCAATCTCTCTGCCTCCCCCTCCTGGACTCCTACTGGTTTTCTGCCTCCCACTCTCCTTCCGTCCCTGCTCGCTGCCCCTCAGTGCCCCGCCTCTCCTGCTCCGCTTCTCCCCCTCCCTGCCGCCCGAGCGCCTGCGGGGTGCAGGTGACTGGGCGTTCCCTTCTGGGTGTGCGAGAGCTCTGGCCCCTGGCCGCCGACTCGCCTGGGGGTCGAGACGCTTAGTGACCACTCTCTTCCCCACCCCTCACGGCCCAGAGTGGCCTCCAAGTTTGCCCAAGGCCAGACGCCACGGGCGGCGTCTCCCGGGCCCCGTGGCTGGTGGCCCTGCCGCCCTCTGCTGCCGCCGTCGTGGCTGCCACGGGAGCCGGGGGCGCAGAGTCCGAGTAGGAGCCCCGTCCTCTGTCCAGGCGGCCGGCGAGAGGTCAGGTGGAAACCCCTCCCGGGCTCGCGGGCGGTCCAGTCTCAGAGGAACCGGGCTCCCGTGCCGTCCTCCACGCTGGGTGTCTCCAGAAGGGAGGCCACGTTCTGGATGAGAAGTCGTGGTCAGGACATCGATCGCTGCTGTCTCTTGTTTTGGGGAGGAGGGGCGTTGCGAGGGCCCGGGAGGGGGAGCCACACCAGGTCTGTGAGTTTAACTCTTTGCAGCTCTTCTCTCCCGAGTGGCTGGTCTTGACCCTGCGAGGGCCCAACACACCAGTGGAAGTGAGCAGCCAAGGGGACCGGGCTGCCTTCCTGGGCTGCGGCTGCCCTCGGCCGCTGACCACAGGCTGGGGGCTGAGCACGGAGCTTAGAGAACGTGCAAGCGGGGAGCGGGTTGGGGATGAGGGAAGGGGCTTGTCTCCTGTCCCGGAGAAGGACACCTTGCTTTCTCTCCCTGGAGGGGCAGCCCTGGCCCCCGAGGTCACGCCCCTCCCTAGAAGAGGCACCGAGACCCATTTTTGATGGCCACGGGACGCGATGTACTGGGGGGTGTCTGTTGACGGACACAGCTACCAGGCTTGTCTTTTGCTCTTGCTTAAGCTTTCGGTCACTGAGTGTGACAGGTGGCTGAGCAGTTGCTGAGCGGCCGCAGAGCCAGGAAGGGGCTACCTGCCCCCGCCCGTGGGGCATTTGGAATGTGAGTGGGAGGCCCAGGCTTCCAAGGACAGGTGATTCTTCACACCCACTCCTCCTGTCGCCCCCCAGGGAGGAGGACACATTCGGGAGGGCGGGGCCGGGCGCCACAGCCTGGAAGGAGCCGCTCCAGAGTCACCGCCTGGCGGTGCGGCACCAGGCCCTGCAAAGTCTGGGTCAGGCTGCGACAGGGGACAGGCCCGCCTGCATTTGACACGCTGTGGCTTTTGGTCTCTCGGCTCTAACAGTGAGTATCACTCTGACTGATCAGCCGGCGGGGTGGGCAGGCCCACAGATGCCCAGGCAACTGCAGGCAGAAGCGGCCGAGGCTGCCCTGCGGGCTGGCCCTCCCCGTGCGCCCCCGTCCTCCGACACGCGGGAGGCCGCTCCGGCCGCGCTCTGCCCACGCTCTGCCCGGGCCAGGCTCTGCCAACCAACTCAGCCCACAGCCTTGTCACAGAGCCTCCGCCGGCCGTGACAGAACCGATAATCTGGTCCCCACTGGCTCTCTGCCTTCGCTGCTTTAGCTCATTAGAATCGAGTCGCAATCGGGGGGGAGGGTGAGTGACCGGCACCCTGGGCCGTCTGTGGAAGCGGAAAGGCAGTGGGTGTGAACACCCACCCCCACCCCCGGGTGGACGCCGGGCAGAAACCCCACCCTCCTGCTCGCGTGGGGACTCGGTGCTGCAACCCAGGGGACGTTGCAGCCGGAACTTGGAGACACCAAATGCTACCAGACCAGGCCTCCAAGGTTTGGTGAGTCCCCGGGGGGGGGGGGCTTCCATGGGACACGACACAGCCGTGTCGTCACTCGCCAGGTGCGTGACGCTGGCGCCCTTCCATGGAAGCACCTCCCGGGCCCCACAGGTCTGCGCTGACCGGCCACAGACGAGAGAAAGGGGGCAGCGTCGCTGGGCGAATGGCCGACCCAGGCTTAGATTTATTGGGGGCCCTCCCTGGACTTCTAGCTGGTGCTTGGTGGGGGCGGCCGGTCACTGACAAGCGGACAGGACGGGGTGCTCCCTCTTGTGGCAGAGCCACTACTTGCTCTCGAAACGATCCTTGCTCCCTCCCCGTCTCCCTTCTTCCGCTCCTTCCTGGGTGAGGTTGGTGGCCCCTGAGGTCATGTACCCCACGGCCACCGTGCCTGGACTTTGGAATGATCAGGGGAACCATGCAGCCCATACTGCACAGGAACCCAGTCCTGGGTGGGGGGGGCAGGGCCAGTACACCAGAGAAAAGACAGCACACAGGCGTGCTTTTTGCAACAAAAGAAACTATTTATTTGGAGTATGCATTACCAGTACAAATTAGGAGACTGTAAAACCTACACCGTGTTAGCATCACCGGAGAACACGAACCTCAGCCAGAATGGAGGGGGGCGGAGCCTGTGCTCTCAGGGGGGCGGAGAAGCCTCAACTTCCAAAACCAAAACAGAGCAGAGCTTCGCGGGGGCGGGGGCAGGGCACACAACCAACAACCAAAGGCAAACACTTCAAAATAACTGGAAATGCCAAAGGAGAATAAAGAGGGGTAAGCGAGAAAGGGAGGGACACATCGAATGTTTTATTCACTTTAACAAAAAAAGAGGGAAAAAAGGTTACAAAAAAGATTCCAGAGAGCTTTGCGCTAGGGAGTGAAGCCACCAAGGTGATGTGAAACCCGTCACGCGCTGTGACTTACAAACTAGGGGGCGGCGTTGGGGCAGCAGCACCGCGGCCCAACTCTGCCCCCCACCCCCATCTCTCACTCCGGTTCTGGCTGCTTCCCGAACACTCAGTCATTTGGGAGATGGGAGATGTTCACACGAAGTCTCCCCTGGCCCTACTGCGGCCCTACTGCCTTCTTTTCCTCGTGACCAATAAAAACATTCCGAGCTGCTCACAGCTGCCGAAAGGCCCAGCCCAGGAGTCCCGGGACTCGGGCTCCACGTCCCCCCAGCTCTTCGCCCAACAGCCTGACCCCGGCCGGCCCTCGGTGCCCACCGCCCGCACCGCCCGAGGGCGTCCTCTGCAAGGAGCACCCTCTCTGGCTGGGAGAGGCACCCAGAATGTCATCATTAATCAGTATGAAAGAAAAGAAGGCATTTCGCCGTGACGTTCGCCATCAACGAGGCAAAAACCTTTCCCTACTCGGTGGTGAAAGGTCCCCAGGCTGGCGCTGTGAACTTTTAAGCGGCCGAAGGGGAGGGAAGCCCCTGTGGTGGTTTTCCCCAGCACGGCGGGGGTCACGCCCTCCACACGCAGGTGGGCCACGGGCAGCACGAGGGCCCGCTCTTTGTGACGCCCACTCAGTCCCGAGACCAAACAGAAGCAGCAAGAAACCGCCCCTCTGCCGCCCAAGCTTCACATCACCTGTGTCATGCACGTGTTCGGACCCGACACAGCGAGGTCACAGCCCTGACGGTTAGAAAAAAGCCCCCCCATAAACAAACCAAAAGTAACACAAAACGAAACATTATTTCTTGTTATATTTTCAAGAGCAGGAGTAAAGGAAAGAATTTATCTCTGGGTCTCAAAGTTAAGAAACGCAACGGTGTGTCAGGCTGCACCTCTAGGAAACGCTCACTACCCCAGCCTTTTGTTTATTTTTCTTAGTTTACAAAATGAGTAACTGTCACTTTTAAACATCGTGAAACAGGAGATGGGTGTGCACAACTCGACACTGGTCTAGCATTCTTGAACTAATTCACAAATGAAGAAAAGAAAAGAAAAAGGGGGGAGGGTGGCAGACGTGGGCAGTGCGGTGCCAGAGAGACGCGGGGTGCATGGAGGGCGTCGGCCCGGGAGGGGAGGGGGTCCCGTCCTGTGTCGCGTGCGATGAGGGGCGCTGTAAAAACTTTCGTTATAAACACTATTAAATTCAGACCGCTTTTTTGGTTCTTTTTCCTTTATCTGAATATACAGGAACATTCCTCACCAAATGTTCGTCATCGGTACTACAAAGAACGAGACATGACTCGCAAGAAGCAATGGAAAATGTTAATAAAGCTGAGAGGATCGTCGAGTTTTTTTTTTGTTTTTTTTAAAGTTTTTTCTTTTAAATTTGAGTTTCCGTAGTTTTATCTTTTTTTGGTATCGAAGTCAGGTTTTTCTGGGCAGAAAAATAAAACTCGGAAGGGAGAGAGGAGGCGGGGCACGTGAGAGAAAAGGCAGCCGGCAAAGGAAAGACCCACCAGCCGAGCAGAAGGAAAACTGTGCGGAGGAGGCGCCACCGGCCGGGAGCGGCGTGGGCGTCCACCCCTTGCGGGCAGTGCGGGGCGGGAACGGGAAAGCGGGAGGGGCCCCAGGTGGGCAGGCCCCAGGGGCACGTGGGCCTGGTGGGTGGGTGGGCGCGGACGGCGGGCGGGGTTCCCAGGTGGGCCCCGCCCTTCGAAAGGCTCTGCTCTCACGTTTTCCTGAACAAGAGACCTCGTGGCCACCGAGCCAGACGTCAGTGTGGCCGCGGAGGGAGAGGCGGGTGAGGGACAGGGACTGCAGGTGACAGTGGCGATCGGTGCAGCTGCTGCGGGCACTGCACTCCTGTCCCTGCCACCTCGGGCCGTCCGGTGACAGGCCCTCTCGGAAACCCGGCTGGCACCCAGTCGGATCACGGCGCCGGTGAGCAGCCTGGGCTCCTGCCGCACCGACTCCTCCCTCACCCGTGCACCCCCCCACGCACACGTGGGTGCTCCTGTTCCTGACCGCCGGGCCCCGAGCAGCGTCCTGGACCTGCTAGGGGCCAGCCTCACTCCTTGGGGTCTCACCCACCCACCCAGGAGCCCCTCGGGCAGGGTGGACGCGACCGGGGACTGAGCACTTACACGGCCGCCCGAAGGACTGAAGCACAGGCCGAGCTCCCCAGGCCGGAGCTTCCCAGTTGGGGCCTGATCTCTACTCCAAGAACCCGACAGGCCAAATCAAACAGAAGAGCAACAAGACCCTTCTCTCTGTGCCCACGGTGACGGCATCGGGCTCGGACACAAACCAGAAGCTAGCCCAGGAGCGCCGCTGCCCCCCACACCTCGACCCGGTGTATCTCAGATACACCATTTCCTGAACTCACATTTACACCTCGGCCACAAAGGAAGCGGCGTCTGTCTCATGCCCCTGCCGAGCCCAGGCCACTGCGCCCCCCCAAAGGGGCAGACCTGCCACCCTGACTGCTGCAAAGCCGGCTACAGAGGACACAAGCTCAGGTGACACGGGGGACAGCTTTCCGGCACACTCGCCTCCCGTGGACAGTCCCAGGGCACAGAGCTCACCGCCGGGGCCTCACTGGGAACGGCCCCTCCTGCCTCCGTCACTCACAGGTCCTCCCGGGAGCCAGTGGGCAGCCTGCCGTCCATGTTCTCACACGGGCGTCTCCTCCAGAATGGGACTCATGCCACAGAGCACCGGGTGAGCCAAGCCACGCAGTGTCCCCAGTGCGCGGCAGACGCCGTCAGCACCGTGCCAGGCTCCCCGAGGCTTGAGGGGCGTGAGCAAGAGGAGGGGCACTGGAAGCCCGGCCCGTGCGCGGGCGTGGTGTGGACTCTGGAGCACAGGTGTTGCCGGCAGAGCTTCTGGTGTCTGGGAGCCGCCCGCGGAGTCGCTAGGTCCCTCTGCTGGGCGGGCGAGGCGCTGCACTGTGTCCGCACTCCACAGGTGACCGGCCTCGGGCAGTGCGCAGGGCCGCAGCAGGGTTTCAGGACGCGGGCCCTCTCCTCCGCCCGGCACCGTCATCACCGTGCCTGGCCCGCACCTGGCTCTGCGGTAGGTTCTGGCCTCCGCTGGCTGGGCCTCTGCCCAGGCTGCTCCGGGCCGATGGGGAGGTGCCGCCGCCCTTCTGCTCTGGAGCCCTCTCCTGCCGCTGGCCTCCGGCCTGGAATCAGCCTGGTGGAGCTGCACCCGGGTAGCGGGCACCTTCGGGAGGCGGCTGTGCCAGTCCCCAGAGATGACGGGGCTGAGAGAAGGGCGGGGCGGTGTGGCGAGTTCCTGTGCGAGCAGTGACGGTGACGGGGTCGCAGGCTGCCCGGGACCGAGGGCCTGGAGGGGCGGACCTGGCTCCTCAGACCACCAGCATGGAAATGTACAAACACTTTTATTACGTTCTTTGTGTTTTTCCTCTTTAAATTCCTCTAATTGTTGAAAATATCCTTCGGTGACATGTGGGGGCAGGGACCCGGGGGCCGAGGACAGAGGGCAGGGAGGTGACGGACGCCGGGCTGGCAGCTGGAGGCGGGGAGGGGCGGTTTCTACCCAGAAAAAAGGGACAGAGTATAAAGAGTGTCCAGAGTGGCTGAAGCAGCGGTCCCCCGGGGGAGGGACGGAGGCGCGCGTGTCTGCTGGTTGCTTCCGCCTGCAGGCTGACCGCTCCGGCGGGGGAGGCGCCCTCCCTCGGCCCTGCCGGCGGGCGCGGGCTTGGCTGGGACGCGCGTGCGGGGAGGTCAGTTGGAGGTGTCGGAGTGAACACTGCCAGGGCCTTCTGTGGGGGACGTCACTGAGGAGGGGGTGGTTGCATCCTGCCAGCCTCCGTTAGCCTGGAAGGGCAGAGAGAGAGACGTCAGTGCCCAGTGAGCGCCGGCGGCGTGGGCACCGGAGGGCAGCGACAGTGCGGGGCCCGCTGCCCTGCCGTGCACACGGACGCCTGTCAGTGAGTTGCGCCCGTGGTGGGTCGCGCCCACCCCGCAGCTCTGCGCACAGGGTCCCTCAAGCCCCTGTCCACCCAGGACCGCCCGTGCCCCGGGGCGGGTGTAACAATGGCCCTAGGGCAGGGGCCTGAGCCCCAGGGGTAACTCCAGCTACGCATACGCACCCCAGTGGCCTCGGGTCCCCCCCAAGAAAAACAGGCCCCCCAACTGCTTCCTAAGGTCTTTTCCAGCTCAGGTGCCCCTAGGCCATGGGGTTGCAGGCACCCACTCCAAGTCCCTGGCCCCGGACGACGGATGGGACACCGCTCACGTCCTCGGGAGGGGACATGCGGCACAGGACTGGACTGTAACTCAGGGCAGGACCTAATCACGCTATAACCCGGCTGTGGGGAGGTTCCATGAAGGCAAGACCCCATCTTGGTGGAGCATCAGGAGGGGCTTCCTGGAAGAGGCCCCCTGGAGGAGAGCCTGGAACAGAGGCGACAGCAGAGAACAGGAGGACGGTGCCCAGGCCCTCGCACGGCCCCCGTGGGGACACCCCAGGAGGCCGTGAGCAGGGGCGGGGGCTCGACCCCGGTCTGCGGACCGTCCTCCTGCCCCTCTGCGCCCAGGAGCATCCGGTCAACGTCGGTGTTCTGAGAGAGTCCGCCTCAGGCCCCGGTGGCACGCCTGTCCACGCCTGTGACGCGCGGGGAGGCAGGCGTGCGGGTCCCTTTGGCGTGAACAGCCCTCGACCCTGAACAAGATGGAGGCGCAGGGCAGGTGTCCGACCCCCCGGCCAACGGAGTGTATGCCGCTGCATTCCCTGAAATACTGGGGGTCACGGGCAGGTGTGACCACTGCCACTTGGGAGGACCTGGCCCCTGCGACGGCTGCCCTGAGGGGCGCTGGCCGGTGCTCGCTGGCGCCCCCTTCCTGAGAGGGTAAAAGGGAGAGGGCTGCAGGCCCTCATCCACCTGCTTTCTTTCCCCTCGGCCTGCCCGCGAGATGCTCCGACGGCCCCGGAGAAAGCCGGGCTTTCACTCCAGAGCGGCTCCCAGCAGCGCGAGGCCATCTTTTCCCTCCTCGCCCAACCGCGAGAGACCTGGACCCACCAGGGCAGGTCAACCCCTCCGTGGTGGCCCCAGGAGTCACTGCCCCTGCCCCGGGCTCCTCCCGCTCCCATCTCTGCTGGACAGCGCCTCCTGCTGGGTGAGGCCGTTTATCTTCTGTGACTCTAAGAGTTGAGATGGGCTGGGATGTTATTTGCAAACCCGGTATTCGCCATCGCAAATGCAATATGGTATTTAACAGAACGCAGGTGCCCACCGCTGTCCCTCGGGGGTGATTACAGTCTGTCCTAATCATCGCTGTGTGTGCGTGTGGATGGACGGGCGGGCAGGCAGGTGTGAGTGTGCTAAACGAAGCCACGAGGCAGAGGGTGGGTGCTGGTTAAAGGGAGAGGCATCGTGCATCCTGGACTCGGTCTGGGACAGGAGGACACCGGGATGACAGGGACCCGCTTTGGCTGAGACCGCCCGCCCCCCACTGTCTCCCCCAAGCCCAACTTGCAGAGCCCTCACTCTCTGCCGATGCAGAGAATTCGTCACCTGCTGTGACAGCCCACAGAAGCCTCGCACTAACAAACTCTCAACGGCAACCTGGACACACCGAGGTGCCACAAAGCCGCTGCCGTCAGCACCGGGAGGGGCCAAGCCGCACACGGCAGACGTGTGCCGGCAGCGGAGACCCGGGACGAGGCTTGGGGGGACGTGCCCAGGCCAGTGAGGCTGGCGTCCCCTCCCCCAGGTTCTCTAATATGCCTGCGTTTTCCCGACACTCAGAGTGTGCTTCGCAGAAGCCCTGGGCGCCCTGGAGCGTCCCCGCAGGGCCGCAGACGCCGCCTCCTGGGAAACCCCACAGTGGCAGACGGGTCCAGGCCTGGCCCGGCCCAGCCCAGCTCACGCTGGGATCTTTCCAGAGTGGGATTCGGATTCTGTCCCCACCCTGCTTCCATGTTCAGGAGCCTCCAGACGAGGTCCGGTGTCCTTGTCGGGCCCACGATGTCCCCGACCCTGCTCCCTGCTTCGGCCACCGGGTGAGTCAGCAGTTCCCATAATGGAGGGACCACTTCATGCCCCTCCATCACCCGAAGACACCATGTGCCCGGTGACACACCCCCTGCTGGGCTGTTTTCAACCTCAAGTGTTCGAGTCCTCGCCCCATGTGTCCCCGGCAACGTCTCCCCCGGCAGCCACCCTCCGCCTGTGCTTGACGGGCACCTACGCTGCCACCGGGCATGTCCCGGCCCATGTCTGCACCGTCCACCAGACCATGAGCACGGTGGGCGGCTCCTCCCTGGCTACGAGCCACTCCCCCCAGTGCCTGGCCCAACCCCAACGTTAGTCAGTGGCTCGGAGGGTCAGGGTCGGGGAAGACATAAGGGGGTGTTCAACGTTTACATCACTGTTTCGTTTTTAGAGAAACTGGCTAGAAAGGGAGCGGGTCCTGCCTGCTGTGGCCCCGAAGCCTCACACCTCCTCCAAACGCGGGGCGGTCTCCACGAGGCCCAAGGATGAAGAGGCAGAGAGTCTGGAAGTCCCCAGGTCACCGCTGCTGATCAGCGGGGGTCCCACGATGCACAGGACACAGGCGGTCCCCAGAGGGCCTGGAGGGCCCGTGCCCCTCACCCCTCAGGGCCAAGACTCACCACACACCGCACTCCCACCCCAGGACCCAGCGGTGCAGCCACCAGGTCGGGGCCACGTGCCTTCCCATCTGGGTTCACAGGGCAGACGCGGCCCTGACGCGTTGGCTCTCCACGTCCCGCAGACTCGGGGACTCTGGAGCTGGCACGTCCCCACGGGGAGTTAAGACCGAAGACCTGCCTGGTTTAACTCCTACGGGTGAAGGAAGATCGGCTGGGCCTGGTTCAGCTGCACACGAGTGTCTCGGTGAAGAAACTGGGTGTGTCCGAGTGAACACGCCCGCACTCGGAGCTGCAGAGCCCACAACACGCCCACCCCCAGGCCACGTGCAAACACACGCTCAGACGACACAGCACCCAGGAACCCAGTGTGCACGCTCCCTCCCACGGTGGGACTGACGAGCGTCGCTTTCGCCCCCACAGCCAAGCCTGACGGCTCGGGTGCAGGGCACGTCTCAGCCGCCCACGCAGCCCCAGCGGCCCCTGACTTGGCGCCGCCCCCTCAGGCCACGCGGAGACCACACCCCCTCCACGTGACCGGGTCTGCGAGAGCGCACACCCTCGCGGGGGACACCCAGGCCCGCCTAACCGTGACAGGCCCTGGGGAGTCACGAGCCAACCCCACGTCCCGGGGACGGGCGTCAAGTGCGCCGAGGACGTTAGTAGCAATTTGCGTGCCGTCACGGAGACGGAGCCACAAAGGCCCGGCTGGCAGCCCCTCATTTCGAAGACTATCATTTGTGGGAGGCGCAGGCTGTGATCACGACAGGAACTTTCAGGGCCCTCATCTCCCCTGACGCGCCCAACCTCTCCCGGGGCCCTAATTGCATTGGAGAGGGCGCAGCTCCCCGCGCGCTAGCGCCACTCAGTGCGTGTGGCCGTCAGGCCAGTGGGGGTGGGGACACGGTGCGGGCGGTGGTGCCCATCAGAGCCGCCTCCAAGGCGCCTCGTTTGCTGGGGGTGGGGGAGGAGGTTCTCCCGTGGAGAATCCTGTTCACAGACAGGACGGCAAAGGCCGGACACCTCCCATGTGCCTCGACTCCCGCAGGCACCCGCACCGCCCCTCGGCACGTCCCCCGGGACTCGGAACTCTCTCCCACAGGTACAGTGGGTTGACTCTTAAATGTTATTTTTTTCCCTTTTAAATCGTCCCGGAAACGTGAGCAGTGGCAACCTCCGGGGCTGGAAGGGGCAGGGCGGGGGTCACGTGACGTCAGAGCCCGAGGACCCAGGGCCACACCCGGTGTGTGGCGAACGTTCCGGTCGGCTGTAGGTTCTTCTGGAAAATGCTTAGGTTCAGTTTTACAGCCCTGGGTGTTTCACTGGTGGACGTAACGGGAAACGAGCTCTACGTGCTGGTTCTTTCCTCTAGGCCCACGCCCGTCTCGCTCGCACACCTGCCTCTGCTCTTCCTACGATCACGGTCCGGCTTTCACTCCAAAGACCCCTCCGCAGAAATAATCAGGAGAGTGGGGGCCGCCCTCCACAGGCGCCCCCACCACTCAGAAACAGAGTTTGCTCTGTTTCCAGCTGTTTCCAAGTGCGGCACCGGGTGATCAGCTTACTGTGTAGTTCCAGGGAGCAGTAAGAAGAACATGGATGTTTCAAGAACACGCCTCTAAGGCCAATGCAAATGAACATCCCCCCCCAGGAGTCACAGAGACCCAGCGTGACGCCACTTGGTAACTCGGCAACCGGCTAACGCGAACCCCCCCCCCCCAGCTTGCAGCAGTGAGCTCGTGAGGGACGGGGCCCTGGACTGCTGGTGGGATGACAACTCAACAGAAGCGTCCAGGAGAAAAATCCACGGTTCATGTCCTTTGATCCATCAACTCCATTTCCAGAAATGCATTCAAGGAGGGAAGAGAAAATAGACACTTAATCTGTGCTGTGACGTTCGCTGCAGTAGTAACAGCAGTGAAGGAAAGGACCGGCTCGCAGCGCACGCCCCATGGTAGAGACCGTTAAGCGAATTACAGACTGTCCGTGCGGCGGGCAGGCCCCCGGGAAGGTCCCAGAGCCACGTCTGAGCAGATGGTCAGCGACATGGAAACACCCGCAACAGATTTCCAGTCAAAGGAGCAGCCACACGTCGGACGTAACCTGAGCATCTCCGCACCACAGGGAACACGCGCTCACACACGCACCAGACGGCTGCTGAACAAACGTGTTCTCCGTGTGCCTTCCCTGCTTTTCTGGAAAG